CCAAGTGGTTAGGATAGATATATAGTTGCATTCTCTTAATGAATAGAATGATTTGTTCTAATGGTGTTTGTAAATAGGATCACAAGTCCACTTCTTGTATAGCAATTAACCACTGAGAAGAATATATGCAGTGTATTATTTGTTGAAACTGTACTTCCGATTTGATTTGAAACTGTCTCATTGCTGTTTATCAATAAAACTTTGAAAAAATAAAAAAAAAAGAGGCAGGAGTATCGCTATGACTTTGAGATCAGCGGGACTACACAATGAGTTAGTGAGTCCAAAGCCCACCTGAAATACATAAAAAGACCCTGTCTCAAAAACAAAACAAACCAAAAAAACCCCAATAAGTCCACCTAGATAGCTCAGCAAACTAAAGCACCTGCTTAGGCAGAGCACAGTGGCCAGGCTTCAATCCCCCACCCCACCCAGGGCACACTGAGCCAGCGATTGAGACTGGGTGTGGTGGCGTGTGTCTGTAATTCCAGCGCTTGGGAGGCTGAAAATAGGAGAATCACTATAAGTCCAATCTGTGTAGTGAGACCCTGTACCGAATACATTAAATAAATAAAAAAATACATAAGTCCAAAAGGCCACTTGGACAGAATCTAGGTCATAGCTTCTACTCAGTACAATTGGCCTAGGGTTACTATTTTCTCATCCATCTGACTGGTGCTCCTCCTCACTTTTTCCCTGTCAGTTGTCTTGGCCTGGACCTATCAGAATGTCTGTCTGCAGGGGAGGTAAGGGGTGGGGAAAAATCTGTCAACTGAACTTTGACCCCTGGGCTCAAAATCAGCTCCCTCTAGCTTTGTGTGTCCCTCTTCTCTCTACTTTCCCTTCAGGGCTCTCTGTGTCACTTCTTGACCCAGAACACCAGTGACTGGGAAAGTTCCCTTAGGATGGCACTGTCCCTGGCCAAGGGCCTGGCATTTCTGCATGAGGAGCGCTGGCAGCATGGTAGGTGAGCTGGCTGCAGGAAGTCAAGTGGTTCAGGAGCTGCAGGGCTGTATGTCCAATTTTCTCTTAGCTTGGAAGGGAAGGCTGAGGTCAAAAAATGAGCAGAAGAGGACCTAAGTGCCTTCAGCCTTGGATCTCGTCACAGGTCAATATAAACCTGGCATTGCCCACCGTGATCTGAGCAGCCAGAATGTGCTCATTCGGGAAGACAGGTCATGCGCCATTGGAGACTTGGGCCTTGCCTTAGTGCTCCCTGGCCTTTCCCAGCCTTCTGCCTGGGCTCCTGCACAACCTCGAGGTCCAGCAGCCATCATGGAGGTGAGTAATTGGGACACAGTCGGGTGGGGGTGATGATGGAGCTGCCAGGGCAGCATGGCCATGGGCAACAGCATCTCTGTCTGCAGGGACATTGGTGAGCCTGGTCCCAGGCTGCAGTGAGGGCCCCCAGAGGTGATCCTTGGTCCTCCACACTTTCTCTCCAGGCTGGCACCTACAGGTACATGGCGCCAGAGCTCTTGGACAAGACTCTGGACTTGCAGGACTGGGGCACAGCCCTCCGGCGAGCAGATGTTTATTCTCTGGCTCTGCTCCTGTGGGAGATCCTGAGCCGCTGCCCAGATCTGAACCCTGGTAAAGTCGCTACCCCTGGCACCCTGTCCACCCGTTCTAGGCTCGCTCCCTCCTGAACTGCTTCCAGGAAACTGTGACCTCTTCCCTAGCTTTTTGATGTGCCCAGAATCCCCTGGGGCAAGCTGACACCCAGCCCTATCCCTCCCGCCCCAGACTGCAGGCTACCTCCCTTCCAACTGGCCTACGAGGCCGAACTGGGCAGTGCCCCCACCACCTGTGAGCTCTGGGCCTTGGCAGTAGAGGAGAGGAGGCGCCCCTACATCCCATCCACCTGGAGCTGCTCTACCAGGGTAAGAACCACAGCATGTGTGTGTGTGCGCACGCACGCGTGTGTGTGCGTGTGCACACGCACATGCATGTGCGAGCCCATTAATGGGCTCCAACGACTTCTCTGCTAGGGTCAGTCTGTCTGTTCCTACCTCCTCTCATCTTCCTCCACTCCTAGAACTGAGGAAACTACACTGTTCTTCTTTTCATTCTCCTATCCCCTAAGTCTGACACCACCCATTCCATTCACCTGAGATACCACTTTCCTACTCAGCCTTGACCAGACTCTCCTCCCCACCATCACTTGCCCTACTTCTCAGTCCTCTCCTACAGGAAGCCCTCACTGACTGCTCCTTCTTTGAGCTTGGTCCTCCTGATGGTGCCTCCCATGGTACGGGCAGAGTCCAAAGACTCAAGCAGGCCCTCCTTGTTCAGTGCTATAGATCTTTGCTTCTGCTGTGAAATAATAAAAGCCAGTTGTAGGATGGATGCAGTGGTGCTTGCCTCTAAACCCGTATACTTTGGAGACTGAGGCAGGAGGGTAAAATTGAGCCCAGCCCAGGCACCTTCACTACCCAGCAAGCATATGTTTCAAAAAAAAAAAAGAAAGAAAGAAAAGAACAGAGTTCACAGGCCCTGGGTTCAACCCCAGTAGCACAAAAAATTAAATAAAAATAGAAAAGGATGGGAGATGGAGCTCTGCACTCCTTATTTTCAGTCACCACTATTGAAATTAATTTAAAAAATTATCAAGTCTGCATCTTGTACAGCAATTAACCACTAGGAAGAATGTATGCAATGTGTTAATTATTGAAACTGTCCTACCAATTTGGTTTGAAACTGTCTCATTGCTATTTGTTTCTCAATAAAATTATGGGAAAAAAATAAATAAATAAAACCATCAATAAATAAATAAATAAATAAATAAATAAATAAATAAATAAATAAAAATTTAGCCAGGCATGGTGGTGCATGTCTGTAATCCCAGCATGTGGGAGGCTGAGGCAGGAGTATCATCATGAGTTCAAGGCCAGCCTACGCACCATAGAGAGTTCAAGGCTGGACTACATAGTGAGACCCTGTCTCAAGAAACAAACCAAACCAAAATTAATCAATTAAAAAAATTTTAAAAAGTGCTGGAAATGTAGCTGTGTGGTAGAATACTTGCCTACCATGATCCAGCCTCTAGGTTCAATCTGAAGTACCATCAAAAACTAGTTCTATGGGGCCAGGGAGATAGCTCAGTAGAATGAGTGCTTGCCTGGCAAGCGCAAGAGCCTGAGTTCAAATCCCGGTTCCGACAAAACAAACAAACAAAAAACTAGTTCTAGAGGCAGGTGCAGGGACCAGGGTTCAATCCCTGGTGTGCCATGCTGGCCCCGCCCTCAGGGCATGCTGAGACTGTGACTGAGACTGGGCGCACACCTGTAATCCCAGCACTTGGGAGGCTGAAAACAGGAGGCTCACTATGAGTCTTATCTACTAAATATATAAAAAATAAAAATAAAAAAAACCCAAACAAACTAGTTCTAGGTATAAAAGGTTAGGTCAGACGCCTTACAGTCAAAGTTATTGTTATTGTTGTTGTTGTTTTCTTTTTTGTTGTTTGAGTCAGAGTCTCTGTGTATTCCAGGCAGCCCTTGAATTGATTATGTAGTCCAGGCTGGGCTTGAACTTTCAGCAATCTTCCTGCTTCAGCCTCCCAAGAGCTGGGATTACAGGTGTGTGCCACTACACACACTACACAAGTAATTTCTCAATGATATCCCTTTTTCCACTATCTAGGCTAAAATATGTACTACTCATGTGTCTTTTGGGTTAGCTAAGGAAGCCAGGGATTTCTGCAGAAGATCCTGGTAGCCTGAGAAAAAGGAGGGTATCTTAGTTCCTTTTTCTCACTGATGATACCATTGTATACCAAAAATTAAAGGAAGAAAGTTTATTTTAGCTCTTAGTTTGTAGTGGTTTCAGTCTGTAGTCAGCTGGTTCTAAGGCAGGGTGGCATAGCAGAGGAACATTGCAGAGGAGAACTAGTCCATGGCAAAGCAGGCAGGAGACAGCAAAGCGGGAAGCAGCAGCAGCAGCTAGCCTCACTTCTTTGTCCCTTTATATTCCACTCAGACCTCAAGCTTACTAATTGGTGTCACCCACATCCAGGGTAGAACTTAATCATGGTCTGACATGGCCTAGATCCAGTCAGCTCTGAAAACCCCCACCTATGAGCAAATGAGGCTTTGGAGAACCTAGACAGAAGCCATAAGAGGGCAGCTTTTCAGTAGCATGTTGTTGGCCTGAATTAGCTCCTCAGAGGAAGAGGTGGACCCCAGTGCAAGGTGCCCAGGAAGCCTGTCCCATAGTGAATAAGCCTCAGGGCTAGATTGCAGTGAGGGGGAGGGGAAGGAGGTTTCAGAAAGGGTCAGAAGTATAGTGCTAGAGGGCACAAGGCTACAAGGTAACATGTGCTTACCATGTGCAAGGCTACGGGCTCAACCTAGTACTAGGAAAAAGAAACATAGCCACACAAACACACCAAAAACCAGTAGTAGTAGATACTGAAGATATTATTAAATCTGTGGTCCACTCCTGATCTTAGGTTTAGGTAAGCACAGTAGTGTACACCTCTAATCCAAGCTACTGAGGAGGTTGAGGCAAAAGGACTGAAAATTTGAGGTCAGCCTGGCAAATTTAGCAAAACCCTGTCTCAAAATAAAATATTTTTTTTAGAGGGCTGAGGTGGCCAGGCATGGTGGTACCCACCTGTATCCCAGCACTCAGGAGGCTGAGGTAGGAGGATCACCATGAGTTTGAGGCCACCCTGGGCTACATAGCAAGACCCTGTCTCAAAAAAGGGGGTGGTTGTTGATGGGGAGTTGCTCAATAGTGGAGTGAACTTGGGTTCAACTTTCAGTATTGGAAAAAAAAAAAAAAAGATTTCAGGATCAAGCCTGCCTCCTGGTCATTCCTCCCAGGACTCCAGTGGGCTGAGGGAACTCCTAGAGGACTGCTGGGATGCAGACCCTGAAGCCCGGCTGACAGCTGAGTGTGTGCAGCAGCGCCTGGCCACCCTGACTCATCCTCAGGAGGCTGATTCCTTCCCGGAGGGCAGCTGTGCGTACGGCTGTGCTCCTCTCCCCCCAGAAGACTGTGCTTCTCCTCCTGCCCCTGAAACCTCCCTTTCAGGCCTTAGCTAAGTGCCTGCCACTCCAGTGTTCAGCAAGGCCTTAGCTCCAGTAATCCCCAGCCTGTCAATCCTCATATGTGAATGCACAATTTATGTGGAATCTGTGTACCTGCGAACGTAAAGGTGGTTATCATATACTGTGTGGTCTGCCTTACCATGGCTTTTCCACTCACCATATCCTAGGTTTCTTCTGTGGTGTCAAGTCCACCATGGTTCTGACCAGTAGGTAGGGGTTGCATGCATAGGAAAGAGAATAAAGTCAGCTTTCCTGACCCATGTTCTTGGCTTTCCACCATTCCTGTGACCCTAGGCCCTCCTCACTCTTCCCTGCTCCCCAGCATTCAGATGGAGGGATCGAGGGATCTCCTGCTGGGCACTGGAGAAAAAAAAATGAACACAATTAAGCTACTGGACCTGCAACTCACATTTTGAGGTCCTGTGCAGTGTGAGGGGGAGCCCAGCGTTGGAGGTGTGAGCTGGCTTGTGACTACTCTGCAGTTTCCCAAGAAACTCCTAGGGCAGCAGGGAGTCCATAGCTTCCTGGGATGCGAGTGGAGGAAGGGGGGAGCACTATGCAGTGCGAGAAGAGATCCCAAATAAGCTGGGTAGCAAAAATGAAAGGTACATAGTGGAAGAGAGGAAAGGATAGGGGGCCCAGGGAGATGGTTCAGTGGAATAAGTGCTTCCCTGGCAAGTGCAAGGACCTGAGTTCAATCCCTGGTTCTGAAAAAAAAAAAAAAAAAAAAAAGAAAGGAAAGGGGATATAGGAAACTATACAAGGCCTTATGAGCCCAACTAGAAAGTTCTTCTTCCATTTATTTTTGTATCCATTTTCTTTCTCTCCCAACATACACTGAACACCATTCTCTGGATAATCATGAAACAGTTTTTGTTACATTTCTTGCCTCTACTCAATAGTGCGCTTGTGTTTTACCTGACAGCACTATTTGCAAATCAGGAAACCAAGAAGTTCAGAAATGTGTCTAAGGTGTCAGGTATGGGAGCACACACCCGTAATCTCAGCATTCAGGAGGCTGAGACAGGAGGATGCCCCTGGGCTACATAGTGAGTTCAAGGCCAGGCTGGACCTACTCAATGAGACCTGACTCAAGAACAAAACAAACCATGTGCCTAAGGTTTTAGCTTGTAAATAACAGAGCAAAGATTATCAGCCATTAAAAATATTTAACAATTTAATGATGCCAAGTCTGAAACTAAAAAAAAAAAAAAAAAAAGAAAGAAAAAGAAAAGGTTTAGAGATGTAGCTCTGTCTAAAGGCCTTGGCTTTAATTCCCAGTATTGAAAAAAAAAAAAAGTTAAAAAGCTGGGTGCAGTGGTACATGCCTATAATCCCAGCTACTTGAGAGGCTGAGGCAGGAGAATTACTTGAGTTCAGGCCAGCCTGGGCAATATAGTGAGACCTATTTTTAAAATATGTTTATAAAACCTTGACATGGGGCTGGGGCGATGGCTCAGTGGAATAAGTGTCTCTCTGAGGAGCGCAAGGGTCTGAGTTCAATCCCCAGTTCTGCCAAAAAAAACAAAAAACAAAAAACCTTGACATTATGAGAAATGGAAAAGGTTATGAAATAAGAATCTACAAGATGATGATTAAAATAAGCCATGTTAGGGGCTGGGGAGATGGCTCAGTGGTCTAAAGCACCTTAGAACAAGCTTAGCAAAGCACAGGGACCGCGGTTCAATCCCCCAGCACCACATGCCAGCCAGCCCTGCCCCCTGGTGGGCTGAGCTGGCCACACACACACACACACACACACACACACAAATAAATATATAAAAATTAAAAAAAAAATAAGCCATGTTAGTCTAAAATCATGCTATTTAGCTGGAGATACAGCTCAGTGGTAGAACACTTGTCTAGCATGACCAAAGCCTAGGTTTGATCTCTACCCCTGGGGAAAAAGAAACTCATCTGATAGTCAGTGCAGTGGTGCACTCTTTTTTTTTTTTTTTTCTTTTTGCGGAACTGGGGATTGAACTCAGGCCCTTGTGCTTGCCAGGGAAGCGATAAGAACTTTTTCCTTTCTTTCTTTTTTTCTTTTTTTTTTTTTTCCAGAACCGGGGATTGAACTCAGGCCCTTGCGCTTGCCAGGCAAGTGCTTATTCTACTGAACCATCTCCCAGGCCTCTAGTGGTGCACTCTTATAATCCCACCTTCTTTCAAGGTGGACAAAGGTTCCAGGCCAGTCTCTGAGCAACTTATCGAGACTCTGCTTCAAAATAAATAAAAGCTGAAGATATCGTTCAGTAGTAGCATGTGTTGAGGTCCCAGGATCAAATCTTCAGCATAACAAAATTAAAACCAACAAACCAAACAAAATACTATGATCAAAAGAGAGACAAATTCTAATAGAGGAACATTTTGCAAAATGCCCAACCAACTGTTCAAGGTTGTCAAGGTCGTCAAAACAGCAAATCTCAGGAGCTATCACACCCCATCGGAGCATTAGGAGATGTGACAACTCAACCCAGTGTGATAACAGAAAGGATGGTACAGAGTCAGCTGACACAGCTGCTCACATTTTGTCATAATTGCTCTAGAGGGTCAGGGTATAGCTCAGTGGCACAAGTGCCTGCCTGGCAAGTGCAAGGTCCTGAATTTGAGGCCCAGTAACAACAACAAAAGAATTCCTATTATTATTCTAGAATAATTTTTTATTTTTATTTTTTTTTTTGCGGAACCGGAGATTGAACTCAGGCCCTTGCACTTGTCAGGGAAACGCTTATTCCACTGAGCCATCTCCCTGTCCCCTTTAGAATAATATTTGCTTTTTGCTTTTCTCTACATAGTTTCCCAGTGAGCTATAAATAGACGAAACAATTACTGTGGTATATGGAGATTTACAACTGGACAAGGACACCAGGCATGTGCCTGCCTCTTTAATATTAGTTTAATCAAGAGTTCTTGGGGCCGGGGAGATGGCTCAGTGGAATAAGCACTTCCCTGGCAAGCACAAGGGCCTGAGTTCAATCCCCTGTTTCCACCAAAAATTAAAAAAAAAGAGTTCTTGAAAGCAAGCTTCACTGTTCAATTATTTCCCCAATGTTGCATAACTATATCTGCTAATTTGAGCAACAGGTTTGACAATAAAAATAGATAATATAAGAACTGTTGTTCACAAAGAGGAAAGTGATCGATGACGTAGAGTGTGCCTAAGGAGAGTCACATGGGGAGAAGACACTCTCTCAGGCTTTCACAGAGAGCACATTGGCCAAG